ATATTATATATATACATATATACATATATATGTATATATATAAATATATACATATATATATGTATATATATATACATATACATATATTTATATATATATATATAAATAATATTTACCAACTAAAAAATAATAGACGAATTTTCGAAAAAAAATCGATATATATATATATATATCTGACGGTAAAATAGTAATCAAAGCTTTGTAGTCCGCCGCAGGGTTTAGAGGAGGTTCTCGGTGTTCGGATCTCACACGTCTCCTCGGATCCTTCTCCTTCCAGTTTCTTCGATTTCTCCCGTGCAGCTGCTCCTCTTCCCGTGAACTCCATACACGTGGTTTCGATTCGACTGTGAAGTCGTAAATGTAAGTTTTGGCCGGCGATTTTACGCCCGGTCACCATGTTTATCCGCTCGAGAAGGGATAGAAAAGTCAGCAGTGCCGTTTTGGATTCCAGCGAACGTGATGTGAGACATCTTGTACTCATTCATATGGTTTCTTCAATCCGTTTGTTGCAGACATAATCGATGGGAATTGGACTTGAGCGATTGGTATGATGTTGTGCGAGTGCGGCTTCTGGATCGATCAGTAGAAACAAAAAGGTGGGTGCCTTTCTGGTGTTCTTGGTTGGGATGGTGAGTAAAAACCTGATTTTTACTGCGTAATCAAACGTGAAAGCATAGTTTATGAGATTTTCACTTTCAGTGTGTTTGGATTTGCTTGATCAGGTCTCTTTCGATTGCCCACTCCCGAAACCCCAACTGCATTCTTGTTGCCTTTTTAGTCAGGTGTTGGCTTCCCTATCTCTTCTAGGTAATTTCAGGAACCCCCATTTTATGTCGGGTAGTGAACCTGGATGTAATCTCATCTTCTCTTCGCCTTTCCAATTGAGGGTCATTGGGTGCATTTATCTCAGCTTATTGTTGCATCGATTGGTTATCCTTCCTTGCAATGCTTCCCCTTGACACTTATGTGTTTTCCTTCTGCATGCTTGAAATGTTTCTGTAGAATTATTTTGGGCATGATTTCCAGCTACAATTATCTAGTTAGTAACTGTTGTTGCTGAGATTTGGCATCCAAGAGCTACTTGAGTGAACTCAGTGAAGGTTCCTGTCTTGCACTTGTGAGTCACTTGACTGGTTTTGGGGAGTTTTGGGAAACCTCTTTTGCTTGCTTCAATCCTTTTCTTCGGTGAAGAACAAGTTTGATCTGCTGCTAAATTGGGGGGATGGTGATGGAAGAAGCAAGCTGCAGTCCATCGTGGACTAGGGAGCAGGATAAGGCATTTGAATATGCTCTGGCCACTCACCATGAGGATTGCGACAACCGGTGGGAGAAAATTGCTGTGGATGTGCCTGGGAAAACCATTGAGGACATCAAGCACCATTACGAACTTCTTGTGGAGGATGTCAATGGCATCGAGTCCGGCCGGGTGCCCTTGCCTTGCTACCCATCTTCCTCGGAAGGTGGTGACCTGGCCAATGAAGGTGGCGGGAGCAAAAAGGGAGGCCACTCTCATGGTGATTCTGCCCATGGTGGGAAAGCATCGAGATCTGATCAAGAGCGCAGAAAGGGGATAGCATGGACCGAGGATGAGCACAGGTTGAACCACCATACTCATCTTTTTTCTTGGGTTTTATAGGTATCATGTTGGACTATTTTGGTTTTTTAGATTCATGAATGTGATCGTGTTGATGCAGAAAATCCTCTTGAATAGCATCTTTAGGTACTGATGGATCAGTGCTATTTAAGAAAGTCACAGGTTTAGCATAAAAAATTATACATACACTTAAAGAATATAAATATTGATGAACTTTAGGAAAACTGTCTTGGAAATTTATTATAATGGGTTGTTTATATGGTCTTCGTCTATGTATTTTTATGCTTCTGATGTGGTGAACATCATTTTCTTTTTGGTCTTGTTCAAAAGACTAGAGTGGAATAACCTAGTTGTTTCTCCAATATGTGATGAAGAAGAATATTCCTATTAGTATCCCAGGTTTAATCCCTGTAGTCATTAGAACTATATTACCATTAGTTTCCCAGATTTAATCCCTGTAGTCATTAGAACTATATTGATTTAGTACTTGTTAAAATGGTGATACATCTTTTACCTTACAAAGGGTGTGTGGTTTGGCAGTATGTTTCTTGTCTTTATCATCTATGAATCAGAAGCCAGTGGTGATGATCGAGTAACAAATAATTGAAGACTTGTATATGGCATTGGATGTGTCCTTTCTCTATTGATGTTGTTTTTGTCCTGTTTTCTTTTGAGGAATTTCTCTATGCATGTTCTGGGTCTGGACTATATGTTTTTCATTATTAGTTGATTTATGATATCTTATATAGCATCGAAAAATTTTGCATCATTTCTAATGATAAATCACAATCTGTGGTAAATCATTTAGCAAAAGATAGCTTACACTGTCATTCGAAGTTTACTTATTTTACCTGAACTTCAAATCAATCAAGTGCATTGCCATTTCATCTTCTGACATCGATACAGCAAGAGCCAGATTGTCTTAAGTTATCTGCTCTACCTTACCATAATAACCTTTTTTTGTTCAAACATGATCAAGATTTTTATTGAAATTATTTGTTCTTTATACCTGCTTGTCCTCTTACCTCCAGAAGTAAATCTTTGTCCATTTTTTGTTCAAGATGTCAGACTGATTGGTATTAAAAAATGTGAACTTTCATCTCAAATTGGTTAATATCACATTGTACAACCTTTCCAGGAGGATATAGGTCATATACTTAAAAATGCCGCTGCTTCTAAGAGGAAAAAAAATAGAATTACCGTCTCTTTCCAAAGATTTCTCTTAATTAGCACTGTTTTACAATTTTGTTGTTTCCATTAAATAGGTAACACTATTTAGGCTTGTTCTTTAGTTCAGGCAGGGTTCTCAATTTCGATGTGTAATGCCCTATACGAGCAGTAAATATCGGTCTGAGAGGATATTGATATGCGGACCATCCTCTATCAGGCAATACTAGTGTTTTGACCCTGTATCGGGCGATACGGGGTCTATACCAAGCGCTAATGGTCGAAATCCAACCGTTATCGAGGCATACCGATTGGTACGTCTGATCTTTACCGATGTGTACCGGTCAGTACGCCCCGGATTTCGACCATTACCAAGGTGTACCGGTTGGTACGCCCTAGTATTTTTGGACTATTATCTCTAGGTATTTTTGAAGATTTTTTAGCTCTTTTTGGGTGTACTATCGGTACACCCTGACGTACTGTCGGTATGCCTCGATACGTACCATACTGAGTAGGGCTCAGTACACTGGTACGAATTGAAATTGAGAACCTTGGGTTTAGGTACCTTGAAACAATTGTTTCATAAACCTTTACATGCTTCTTTAACAAAAGTCTGACTCTAAGTTTTCATGAGTTGTTGAAATTGATTTCTTTATATAAAAAACAAGGGATATGTTTTCCCTTATACAACAAGAGAATGGGCAAAACAAATGAGACTAGCTTCCTTAAAACTAATTGTTCTTATCTAACTTTTCTTCTTTTTCCCTTTTCTTGGGTGATTCTGACATTTTTTCTTGAGTTGTTGAGATTTATATTTTGAAGAACGAAGAAGGGACATCAATGGACCTTCCTATATATTGTTCTCAGAGGTGCCAGCAAACTATATATGCATATGTCCTCTCTAAACTTAGGAATTTGCAAGATATTGTCATAGAGATGTGTATTCTTTTTAAGACTTAAGTAGGGACAGACAATAATTAATATGGAAGCTAAACAATAGGTTTTTTTCTGCTTCTCAAATCATCTTTCCCTGTTGAATTTCTTCACATTCTTTGTGGCTCACTCTCTATCTTGATCATATAATCTTGTTTCATGGAAACACGTTTTAGATGATGAATAAAAGAATAGTAGGAGATGATCATTCCATATTAATTAGCTATCCCAGCGGTAGGCAGATGGTTCAAGACTCAGAACTAACATCTTAAGTAGATTAGATGACAAATGATGCAATGTTAGTATGAAGGCTATCATCCTCTCTGCACTTTAGATGTCATCTTCTTTCAGTCCTTGAAGCCATAATGTTAAATGGGAAGTAAAAATTGTCACTTACTCTATGATCCCAAGTGTTAATGATTGAAAGATTTAGACAATTTGGAATGTGGAAATATGAATCTGAAGAGAGAAATGACATTTTTCTGTTTCCTTTCTTCTCTTGGAGAAAGACATAGGTTGGGTTTAAATTTCCACCAGTCAGGTTATTATATTGCTTCATTAACATCAGTTATTATATCACTGTTGACTTTACCTCTTTTCAAAAATATATGTATGCATAGTTCAAATTTTTGTCTGATATACCAAGAAATATGTTAGTTGCTTTTGGTGGATCATCTGCAACTGTTGAACCAGGCCTTGGTCTTGCAGTTAGTTCTTTTCTTCATCTTAAAGATATTGTTCAGATCATTGTGATTATGGTGGCTAGAGTACTTGACTAAGATAACATAAGAACCATAGGCGGAAGAATGTATGAGAGACAAATAAGATATTCTCGGTATGAAGACCATCTGTCTCCTTGCTCTTCCAAATGATCTTAAGATCCTAAAAGCAAAAGGTTGTCACTTGTAGTTAGCCACATATCTCTTACAGCAAAATTCACTCTAATCTAGAACATTATTTTATCAATTAGTCCCCTGAGGAGTGAACTCTTGTTGTTTCCTGCTAAAATCTTATATCAAATATAACAAATTGTTTTTGTCCAGCTTCTTTGTTGCTTCTCTCTTCACCTCTAGGGTTGCCTATTAATCTGCAAATATTTTTGTAAACATTCTCTCAGAGTGATTCTTGTCATCAAGATCATACTGCAACTGCTTATAAAAATTAGCATTCTTGCCTGATTTTTAACAGATTATTTCTTCTTGGACTTGAGAAGTACGGAAAAGGTGATTGGAGGAGCATATCTCGGAACTTTGTGATCTCAAGAACACCTACACAAGTTGCAAGTCATGCACAGAAGTACTTTATTCGGTTGAACTCGATGAACAAAGATCGGAGAAGAACAAGCATCCATGACATAACCACTGTGACCAACGGAGACACACCGACTCCTCAAGGGCCAATCACTGGTCAAATAAATGCATCTGTGGCAACTGCAGGGAAGTCTGCCAAACATTCTCTTCAATCAGCTGCCGACCCAGCTGGAGTTGGTATCTTTGGAACTACCATCGGGCAGCCGGTGGTCGGTGGTCCTCTTATGCCTGCAGTAGGCACTCCGGTAAATCTTCCTGTTCCTGCTGGATCCCATATCGGCTATCCGGTGCGAACCCCAGCGAGCATCTCATCGACTACCTATCAGATGCCTCCCACATCATCTGGTAGCTGAGTACAAGGGAATCTTGAAGTAGAAGAGAATGCTGCAGCTCCACCTTGCATCTACTTCTCATTAATGTCAAGTAAGCTAAGAGATGCAAGCACATTTATGGATGACTGTGTTCTGGATTTGTACAACTACTTGATTACTGTCTGGATCATGTCAAAATAAGCTATTAAAGGAAACTATTGATTCAGGAATGCAACATGAGAAAGTTGTGGCAATCAAAATAGACAAAGGCAGCTCTTTGTGTGTTCAGTACTCAGTTGGGTTCTATGGTAACTTGTTTGATCTGTTTGTGTGGAGGTAAATGGGGCTCGAAGGATATGACATTGGTTAATAATTATGCAGTTCAACAAATGGGGCTCATTTGACCTAATGTTAGTTCGGCATCGTGATACTTCCACTCTCTGTTAAGTCGGAGAACCATGTCTTTATAACCGTCAGATATTGAGATGGACAATTCCTCTCATGCCTTAAATCGATGAAGATGAATAATGACTTATTATATAACATTATTAATAAGTATTTAGTTCTATGCTGGTTTTCTAAATGATAGTCACCCTTTACCCTCAAAACCCTTTTTAGGTAAATATATATACAATCGTTCTCACATAGTTTTAGGCCAATGATGTTTTAATTTTAGCTGCCAAAAAAAGTATTTTTCTCCACAAGATAATCTCCATTTCTGATCTTAAAATTGATAAGAAAGCATTTAAACAATAATAATGATGATGATGATGATGATGAGGAGGAGGAGGAGGAAGAGGGGGCTAGTATATTTGTGATCATAGAAACACACTCCAGTAAGTACGAGGAGCGGCCAACAAAATGGCCTATGGTCTGGGGAGTCATACATTGTGCAAATACAGACATGCAGAGCCACCACCAAACTCCACTGACGCATCCATCAATTAGCTCTGGAAGCGCAGCACAATCACCCGGTGCCAATGAATAAAATGCATTTGTTCTCACTGAACTGTTCGTCTAGGCATATCGCTGCTAGATATAGTTGATAAGAAGAAGGGCTCTGCAAATAGCCATCTGTTCTCCAACTCATGGTTTTACATAGCCCAATCTTCATCGCTATCATCCTGACAATGTAGTGGGAGAAATTGAAGCAACATGTCTGGGAAAATAATGTTAAAAACAACGCAAAAAAAAAACACACAATCAGGATAGTAAGAAAGAGAGTATGACCATTATCTTTGGCAGTAGTGACGCTCCAAATCTTCTTAAGGCATGAATTGCAAAATATTAATCGATTCCCATGGTTCCTTTTAGAGCATTCAATCTTGATAATGGATGTGAGGTATCGATGACTAAGAAGAAGGATCCAAAATTTAAGTAAATCTTGGACGCTAATTTCGAAATCCCAACCAAAATAGGTTTAGTTAGGAACACAAACATAGCCAATAAGTCGCCCAATGAGAAGTAAATAAATACTCTCATCAACTGTAAGTATCACACGAAGTGTTAGGATACCTCTATGTGATGACTAGTCCATTATCTTTCAAGATCCAAGACATGGCTATAGTTCAGCTCTCGGAAAGAAATAAAACAACTAATTTATCTAGACACAAGGATGTCAACTGTCATGGGGAAAAAGAAGGATGAACACCACGGAAAGCAAATAAACTGCATGTGTATACAACTTCTATACCAAAAGCAACTATATTGAGAACATCATCTCCTTGTGTTTGGTTGTTAAATAACACAATAAAGTTTATATACTAGCTCGATGATTCTTTAAAAAAGGTCCAGAAAAATAAAAACAGTTACATCTTGCTAGGCGGAACTTTGCATGTCAAGAAGAGAGCAGATGCAACTAACAATTGGAGCTCAACTTGCAACTCAGATAGGTAAGACAATCACCATAATGATTTTTAACTGGAACGATTAAATTTCTGTCTAGCAACAAATTATATATTTTAATGTATAAGTAATAAGACGTATATTCTCAAGAAAGAATTAGAATGTGTCCAATAGGTAACTTCAAATGCTATAAAACTACATTTAGATTTTAGAACCACATTTTACCATAAGTACCAGGACTAAGCGACCTATACATTTCAAGTGAAAAAAGATGGCAATAAATTAAACAAAAACCCTCTGATGCAGTTCACTCTGGGTAGAACTGCAGTAAACAATCCCGTCATGATGCTTTTATAAATATCAAGAAAAGAATGGTGCTAAAATTTTCCTATATGTTTCAGTGCAGATTAAGGGAACAGGTTCTTTATGTTGGTTATCAAGATTAAAGATTTTCAAAGTGAACATCAAATCTTTATCGGCAAACCTTTCTATAGCTGAGATTTCTATTACAGAGTATTTTCATAGTAAACTAATCTTAAATTTTTCTCTCATATCAAAACTAATCAAAATTTTTCTGGACTGCAATCAGACAGAAAAAGTTATAAGCTTTAACGAGCTAAAGTCAGGTAATGAATTGCTCTGAGCCTCCGATGAGGGTAAAAATTACTGTAATATTCCTTACGCTATGATGTCAAAATTAACTTGGGCAAATAAATAGGCAAATCCAATTCAGGATATGAGGAATCTAATTTTTCGATCATGTAAATCATAGTATTCAAAAGATATGCAAGTGATAATCAATCTAACGATCCCATTCATAGCTCAGCAAAAGAAAAGACAGTGCATGCAACTATCAATAAAAAAGTGATAACTGGTTTATGTACCTGAGGTTCACTAGAAGTTTCATCTGTCTCGTCTGACACCTATTGAACACTTAACAATGTTAGGTACAAACAAAACAGAAAATTGTCTGATAAAAAATGAAGACCTATTGATTAAGAGTTATACTGTTGAAACCACAACTTCACCAACACAATCTTCAATACTGCTTTAGCAATTTGAACCACGAACTAGTAAAAGAAAAAATTCATATGATATGATCATTATCAATTTTAAATAATTATATATCATAGTTATTTTTTAATGTTTTATACATGTCTTCATTTATGTTTCAGTTCCAATTATTTCAAAAGTTTTATATCTTACAAAATATGAGGTTAAAAGAACCTTTAGCAAACAATATTTGTGTTTCATCAGAATCTTTTCAATATTTTTTCTTTTGTAATTTTACATTTTCTATTTATCAAATTATTCTTTCAATTGATAACTATCTCAATCCTGATGATCTAATCTAACCATCCTCCTGATCCAACCCCAATCTTGCAGCAATCTAGTCTGAATACCCAATTTCTAAAGGTATCCTGGCATTGAAATTGGTCAGTACCAATTGGGAACAGCCTAAAATCTGCCTTTACAAGCTTATTCCATTGGATAACCAGACAATTCCGACCAATTTCAGTCCAATTTTGTTGATCCAAATCCCAAAACCCAGAGTGGTTCCAGAGACCTGATTCTGATCTCAGGAACTTCAGTACCAAAATGTCATGCAAAAATCACAAAAACCAAGAGAAGAAAATAGTAATAGTTCACAATCAGTAGTTAACACCAGCTTAGATCTGCATCGGATCAACAACAAATAATCATAGTTCTAGATACAATCAACAACGTTTTCATTCCCCAGGCAGTAAATGGTCCACAACTGTACCTCAGACGGCTGCAATGTCACATGCTGTTTCCCTGCATTTAAAATAGTCTAGGTGTTATGCAACCGAAAATGCAAAAACTACTAGAATTTGGTTTCTTGGAATACAACAAAGATTCTTGCAAAAATTGGAGAAACAATACTTCGTTTTATACTTGCCAAAAATAAGGAAAAGAACATAACTGTATCACAATAGTTTCCCAAATCAATATGTGCATTTGATTCTAAAATGAATGTGAAGCAAATGGATCACAATTCAAATTGCATATTTTAAAACTGTAAATAAACAGGCAAAAAGTAGAGATAAGACAAGATACTGACCACCCTTTTTCCTGCTAGATTTGGGCTCTTCTTTGTTAGACCCATTCACCTACAACACAAACAAAGTTCCATTTTGTGCACTGTTTAAAACATCATTAACAATTGTATTTGTTTAAGAACTTCCTCAGTATCAACAAGAATAATTTAATTCAGAAGCATACTTCCACTTGTTCAGATGATTTCCTTGAGGCTGCCCTTTTTCTCTTACTAGCAGGACCTGGATGTTAAGTTTCCATCACAAGGGAAATAAGTCAGCGACAAAACACACATTAGTTACAAGGTAACCATGTCCTTCAAACAATATAAAATGAAGAGAAGAAATCAAGAGAAAAAACCTTTTGTTCCAGGAGAAGTATTCGCGCCGCGCTTCGGTTTCTGAAATATGAAAGCTGAGGAGTCAGGCAAAATATGAACGTGGTAATGGCATAGTAACACATTTTAAGAAGAATTAACAATGGATTCAAGCATAATGAAAGTGACTGATATCCATTCCGATGCTCAGGTGACTTACCATAAACAACACCAATTTTTGTCATAGCAAACATACAAAAGAGCTAAGCATGGAATAGCATCTTCACGTTAGTGAACAAATCAACCAATATAAGAGAATGTAATAAAGGAGTTCCAGAAAATAAAATCGAAGAAAAGGCTTGAATATTGAGCAGAAAATATTGGGCCACCGACCAAACAAAGATGCCTGTTGTTGACAAATTACATTGAACACTTATGGTTAGTATTGCACATGAAATGTGTGCATGAGGAAGTTTGAGCATGTAAGATAATAGGATGAATTTCATATGTACACTTTATAATATACAAATTTTCATATACAACCTAATGTTCCAGGTCATATAGGAGCCCTTATGGGTTCAAAAATCTTTTTTACATCACCTATGCTCTCTTTTGTGCCTAAGCTACTTGTTATTTGGATGACATTCGTGAAAGTCTGTACACTTCCAGAAGGTATCAATAATATTTCAGGGACATTTATAGAAGTTTGATACGTTAGAAGGATAGTTGTAATATTTGCAAGTTTAAGAGAGTTTCTGTGGAATTACGAGTGAGCAAAGGGGCACATGAATTTTTCTCAAGATAATAATATTATGTTTAACTCGACTCATACATATACCAACCAACCGAAGGCTTATAGCTGCCCAATATGTTGGAATAATTATTGGCCGCTATGCTGAAGCATGTAAAGTAGATAAGATAACACCACTAACCTTATCCACTACTTTCTCAAACAACGTAGATAAAGTAGCCTGAACCAGCGTGCCTTTTCCATTGGAAAGATTCCCTTTGGACCATTCAGATGATGAAGTTTGCTTCAGTTTCTCCCTTGAACAGGTTTTTCTGTCAACAAGCTCACTTGTTGAAGCAACAACACTAGAAGATACTGGACAGGAATCCACAATCTGTCCTACAAATTAAGGATATAAAGTTCATAGTAGAGAAACATGGATATTTCAAACATGCAATTGTACTTAATTATGCAATCAAGAACTATAAATATACTAAAGAATATTGGACATACAAATTTTAAATTGGATCCAATAATGGAGTGACATAAGCAAAAACACGATTAGTAATAAAACTCTTAGTTGTGATCCTAATTCTGAATTTACCTTCTCATCACCCTTATGAGTTAGCTCAAGTGAAGTGACCCCAGCGGAGGTGGCAGGTTGCTCAGCATCACAATTAGAATTAGAATCATCTCCAGAAGATTCTGCATAACTAAAGGAAAAAAGAGATAAGAAAGAAACTCCTGAGCCTAATAAACAAAGAAAGGTGGAAACTATCAGAAAATTTTGTAACATTTGCATATGGTAAATTTATTTTGCTGATCATGCATTGTGGAAAATAGGTAAATAGTTGTATTGCAGGCCAATAATAACTTATCCAGTATTCAGCAACTTGCATTGGAGTAATTGCAAACACCAGCTAACAAGGAAAAAGTTTTGGATGGACAAAAGGCAAATCTTATGCCAATAAATTAACCAACCAATATCAATACTAGATGCAGTAAGCTCTCTGCAACATTTATTTGAGTGTTTGAACTTTGAACAATCAAGTGTAAACTAAGGTCTTAGTTTCTAAATTAAAATGTCACTAGTAAAATATAGGGATAAGTAGCCTAGCAGTCCTGAATTCTATCAAGGAAAAATTTACATGGAACAACCAATTGTAAGGAGAAGAATCAATCAAACTTTAGATAATTGGGCACAAAGTAATTCAGTGATATAAAAACAATAACCAGCTCCTTCTAAGCTGACAATTTAGTGGCAATGTCTTTCAAACATTCAAAATATCAGTTGAAGCCAATTTAGTCAACATATGGCATTACGAGCTGAGCATTTTACTTACATCCAACTATAATAATATCAAAGAGCAGTGTCATGATAAGGTTGTTTCTTTGCAAACCTCGGCCCCATGGTTCAAGTCATGGAAGCAGTCTCTCATGCAAGGCTGCATATAATAATTCTCCTCAAAACCATTAATGGGGAGAGCCTCACACCAGACGTCCATTCTTTTGGTCATAACATAATCAGCACAATACTAGTAACAGATAAAGAACATAAATAATTGACTTATAAAAATGTTAATGCCATACACACTTCACTTGACTGCCTTTTTATCATCAACAGCTACATTAAGAACCATCTGTGGCACATAATTGCAAAGCCATATAACTTGAACAAATACCTTAGCTTTTTCCCTGCAGTTCTAGCCGACTGGCGAACAGGTGTTGCCATGTTAATCGTTCCTGGTTCCACTTTATTGCCAGAATCATCAGGCAAGCTATCCTCAAATTCAGTTTCAGGAGAAAGTGGTTCTCTCTTGTTTACAGGTTTATTTCCAGCTGATTGTTCCCCAACTGTGGCACCAGCACCTCCTTTGAAGTCATAGTCTATTGCATCTTTTCCCTGCTACTCAAAATATTAAATGCAACAATGAAATCCAGAACCATCAAAATGCAAAAGGAAAACAAAATAAATGTGAAACTATTGTATGAAATCACCTCACTTAGATACTTAGGAAACTCAAGTTGGAGTTCTTGTGGATTCTCCTCCTTTTGCCCAATCCACCATGCATCAGCAAACACAATCTGCTAAAACACAAGTCAATCAAACAACAGCATTAATAATGGAGAAAAGATAATGTTATCATCACAGTAGACATGGTTTATGCGGTTATGCCAAAGTGGGAGTTTGGAATAAGATGACCTTGTAAAGAGTCAAAAACCATTCTCCATATCATACTCCCAGACTAAGAGGTTTTCCACCCTAAAGGTTGCAGTTGTATGTTTAGGATACAGCTTGTAGTGATCACACCAATCACAAGACTAGCTAAAAATAAATTAAGTGTGCACATCTTATAAAGGCATTCTCAACATTCAATAATTGTGATTTATAAAATCCTGAAGTGAATACTGAAAGAAACTGAACTAAAATGTGAACATGCACGATGGCGATAGATAGTGACTGATGCTGACCCTTTTACTCGTCTGGGGCAGATGGAGTTCTAACTATCACTAAAGCCAGAAGACAAATGTGAATGCAAGATCCTACTCCCATATACAAAGTCAGGAAAACAAGGTGAACTACTGTCATCCTAGAACTTTTAACTTAATCAGGTAAGATTACCAAAACCCATTTATAAGCATAGCATAAGCACTAGCCAACGAAAGTGGTAAGTTAATGAATGCTCACCAAGCGGAATGAGGGATGCTAAATGTTTAATTTGCTTACTCACAACATTCTAAAACAATAAGGTATGTGGCAAGAAAGAGTAGTAAACAATACTCCATGTTTGTATTAAGCATATACATCATGCCAATAAGGTCATAGAGCTTAGTTCATAATACTTCATGATTGAAAGACCTCGGCCCGATTTGATGATGACAATCACTTTGATTTTTCAAGGACTTAAAAGCATCTTCGTATCAGGACTGATTTACTACTAATGAGCTCCAATCAAATTTAGTAACTTGGAGAACATGAATGCAGAAGGGCCAATTTGAAAATACAATGCTTCTTGTAGTTTACCATTCCTTGCAATTTGACATCACTAACGTAGTAGAACAGTGAACAATCAGAAGGGTGCATTGGTATCGGCAGGTACCAATCTATACTGACCAAATGAATTGATCCAAGAGAGTCAATGCTTACTTTAAAGGATAATTATTTTTAAAAATAATTTGTTGTCTTCTATTTTTCTCCTTATTTTCATGGTTTCCAGCTAATTTTCAGTAAAAATATTTACTATAATAACAATTAAGTGGTTCAGTTCAACTTGCCCATCAGTTAATGACTGTGCATAATCTACTTGAGAAAAACTGAAAACTAATGATGTTTAAATAAGATAACAAAATGCAGCTTAACAACAACAATGTGATGTCACTCAATACAAAGCATCAAAGCACATGGAAAAGAACTCAAAGTTTGCAGTAAAATGGTTATGATTTAGGAGTCCTTTATCACACCAAGCCTACAAACTTAACTATCGTTTCTTTCCTGCATAGAAAATGCTTCAAATATGTACTTACATATTGAATAACCAAAATCATCAAAACGGCAAAAAGCAACTTGAGAGAAAAAGGAATGGCATCGGAAGCAAACCATGCTCTCGAAGATATCCTCGCACGCAACACCCTTGAACGATTTCGTGAGTTGCAGCGTCAAGTACTTGTTCTTAGGGTACACGTGCGTACCAAATAGCTTCATTCTTCCCTACCAAAGAGATCAAGATAATCACAAAAACCGACAAGTTAGAACATCTTCTAGATAAAGCCTAGAGATCGGGCATCAGAGACCGATACCTGGGGGAACTCGAGGTATAGGACTGGGTTCTTGGTGCCGAGGTCGGCGAGCTCGCCGATCCGCCCGGAAGAGAGGGGGGCGAGGAGACCAGGGAAGGAGAAGAGGTAGCGGCTCTTCCTCTGGCCGCGTTTGACGAGGTCGCGGCCCTGGAGGCGGACGACGGCCTTGGAGGGCTCGAGGGGCGCGGAGGGCAGCGAGGGGGCGCGGCGGAGGAGCTTCCTCGAGAAAGCGAGGGATCTTAGCCGCCGCTTCTCCTCCGTCTCCGGGTCGACCGGACGGGCCTCCTCGTCTTCGCTTTCCTTCTTCCTCTTCGCCATGGCGGAAGCGCGCTCGACTTCAGGTCGAACCCCCCGTTCCACTTAGAAGGGCGGAAAAACGGTAAGACTACATCCGGGCCAGTTAGTAGGGCCGTTTAGTTAGATGGGCCTTCTTTCTTATATATCCAGCCCATAGTAGTGCGCAATCCACACGTAGCCCATTCTTATCCTATTAAATATGATAAGAATTATAGATTATCACTTGTAATTTCTTTTGTCACTCGTAAATGGATTAATTATAAATTACTTCTCGTAATTAATCACTCTTAAATTTTTAATTTTTTTATTTTAAAAAATTATATTAGTATTTCTATAGTTACAAAAGTAAAACATCTAAGCTCATTTAACCTAATGACGTGAGTTTTATCAATCAAAATATGAAAACAAATGGTAACCTTCACCTCATCTTTTTTTTTTTACCATTAAGTGACGACAAGGGAGAGGAGGTGTGAGATCATCGAGGGGGAAAAAGCTGCTTATCTATTGACTAGAGCTCTCACGGTCACTGTCACCTCATTTACTTCATTGACAACCCTAACTATCTTCTCTCTATCACTCTTTACCAAATCCAATAGCGATGATAATAAAGTAAGTACAAGAAGGAAGAGCAAGACGAAAGCACTACTATAAATGATTGTAGTAGCATGCTGAGAGACAATAAAAGAGAGGAGTTGCAGGGCGATAATGAGGGTATTGAGGGGAAAGGATTGCTTAATAACTATGTCAATGGTCTACCACGATCGAAATGTTAAATTTATCTTTTTATTTTTATTAATAAAACTAACATTGTTAAGGTAAAATAGATATGAATGTTTCACTTTTATAACATTATTAAGATATAAGAACTAAGATGTTAAAGATAACTAATAAATATAATTAGCCTATTTTGATA